CTGTCAGGCTCAGTTGCTCAGTTTAGCAATAACAATTGAAGGAAACCTAATTGAGCAACTTCCCTGGGTACTGTTTAACTTCAGCCTGCCTGGGAAAATGTATGAAAATTTCTGCAGGAATTCACTTGGTTTTCTTTTTTCCTAATTTAATTATACGCTTTCATTAGTGATGTTCATGACATAATTAAAAAAAAAAAGGAGGATTAGGAACTGGATAGCTGTTGAGTAATAAGGGAAGCTGGCATATCTGAATGGAGTTATACAAGTGACTTTACCTGAATGAAATTGAAATTCTGCCCCAGAATGTGACTTCATCCAAGTTTGTGTAGCCGTAATGTCTGCGAGCCGTAAGTGTGGTAGGTGCTGTACACGACTCCCAGCTACTGAATAAAAAAGTGTTCTAAGTTCCTGTACGCACCTTGTTTTGTTTCCTCAGAAGCGGTTATCCATCCTTGGTTTTGCTAACGATTAGAGAGAAGCGGATAGCAGGACTGAGTTTCTTCTGCCTGTCTTATGAATACAGTGCATTTTGTGGGCATCAAGTCAGCAGCTCTTGCCTGCTGAAACTATGTGGTTTTGCCATTACCTGTCTGTCGGGACACTCCCGTGTCCAGGGCTCTAAGCTACTTTTATAATTACTACTGGGGTTGTCCGAGGAAAAAGCAAACGTTTCTTAGCAAATAGCTGCCATTGGATTCAGATAGCTGATGGTGCTGACTGTTTGCTTTGCAGTGTATCTGCTGTTCTTGCTGGATAGGTGACATTCTTTCAGAAATCCTAGTGTTTTGTGACAGGTCTAAATTCCACTGGAGTACATCAGACGAACTTGTTTTTCGGTAATGACACATTGCAAGCCAGTCTCTGGGCTGGATGCCCGGGCTTCTCCTGTTTTCTGACTGTGTAGTAATGTGAAAACTGTAATGACTAGGTCTGCTTTTGTAGTTAAGGTCTTTTTCTATTAACAGGTAGTTTTGGGTCTGCCCGGGTGTTGGCAGAATGGGAGTGGTTAGGATGTTGGTGAAGCTTGGAGAGGATGGGCAGTGTGATTTCTGCCTCCATCAGCTGCGAGTTTTGTGCAAAACCCAGGTCGTCTTCCCTCCTTCCTGCTGCTGCTAGAAGTTGGTGGTGTTGATCTGCCACAGGGAAGCGTGTGCGTAGCTGGCAAAATACACAAAGGAGGAATTTCAGGCAGGTCGTGCCGTAATGATGTGAAGTCAAACTTTTAAATAAGGTTTAATTTTGAAATATGGAACTGTATAATAATCTGCAAGCCTTTACTTTAGCAATGTGATTTTAACTGTGCATGCCCTAACTGGAGAATTTGTGCTTATTTCTTAGCTGTGATGCTGGTCTCTGAAACTCATTGGCTCTTCTGCTGAGGAACTAATTATCTTAAGACTGTGTAATTTAAAATACGTTCAAATGAAATAGCTGAAATACAGCATCGTGACTGGATTCACAAGTGGTTTGGACAGCTAGAGCTGTTTTTTTTTCTCTGAACCCCCACCCCCTTTTGGGCAATGAACTGGCACCTGCCTGTTAGACGTTCTTCCTAGTAGGTTGCTTTTATCATCTGAATAACTTGATTCTGTCTCGCCTGTCCTTTTAATCAAAATCACCACCAAGAAATGCAGAATGTCTAACTTGTCAGAGAGTCAATTTGACAGCTTGATTGAACTTGCTCAGGTATTCATTAAGTGCCGCTAGAGAGAGCTGGGAGAATGGAACGGAAAGACTAACAATGCTCTAGTTCTTAATGTGCAGAGCATATTCTGTGTATCTCCTGGTATGCAGGGAATGAAACTTATTTTAGCGCACAGATGTTTCTGCAATTGCTAGAACACGGGCAGGATACCTGGAAAGAGTCCCAGGGCTCAGAGGATCATCACAAAGCAGACCATTGCAGCCGAGTTCATCAGTTTGTCTAAGATGCCACTGCCAGAAACCAAGGGCCTGAGCTTCCCTGTTTCGCAACTTGGTAAATAAGCTTTAATCTGTGACTGTGAATTAGCATGGCTAAATTACAGGCAGTGTGTTCTGATGCAGTTGAAACTGGATGCCAGAGTAAGTGCTTTGTACTTTCAATAAACTATCATGAATTTTGTTGTAAAAGCACAGTGTACGTTACTCATTAAACCTCTTTATCTTTTGAACTCGCCTTAGCCAGCAATTTTGCTTTCTGATTATATATTCCCTTAGGGAAGTGGTTTGCTCTACAGCATGTAGTACTGAGGAGTCTGGATCCAGATGTGTGACAAGGACCCGTGTAACTACAATATAACTAACACAGAAGTGTGTTATAAAAAAATAAATCTAATCCGCAGCTATTTTTTGCTTGTTTCCTGTGACTTTGTAAACATAAGTAATGACTCTGTACGGGGCTATACAAAATACAAGGATTTAAAAAATATCCAGCTGCTCCACGCTGGGTTTCAGTGGATTACTTAATGAGCGAGTCAGATTGCTATATATGCAAAATAATGTCTGGCTTCTAATGGCCAGGCACTACAGATTCACACTGAAACTTTAAAGCAAAGCTTTGTTTCCTGTGGCTCCTGTGTGCATTATTGGTCACAACAGCCGGGATTCAGTTAGTAACTCACTGACATCAGAGTCCAGCCCAACTCCAAAATAAAATAAAGCTGCATTGCTTTGCAGAGAGCAAATGTGAATAAAAGTAATAAATGCTATTTTTACATTTAAGCCTCTGCAAATTTGGGGCCTATATTTATGTAGAGCATGTGGGCAGTTTTAATATGTAAAATTGAGCATATAGACAGGTGTTTGTAAGATTGGGGCATTGGGCACTAAAAATAAAAAAATAACATCTCTGAATAGGATCAAAGAGAATATTGTTGAGTAAATGGATATCATCTTTATGCATGTGCATGTTCTAAAATAAGTCCAGGCTTAATAACGTCAGTTTGGTATTTAAAATTTCCTTTTAGTCATCTCTTTCTCAATCATCTTTCAAAATCGTGTTTTAAAATAAAGTTGCGTATTGCATTTCTAAGCTCTTCAGTATGACTTCTACTTTTGTGGGCTTATTTTTGGTAGAGATGAATCTGATATTGTGACCTACATTTCTTTATTTGAGATAGCTAGGGATAATATCTCTACCTGTGATTTCTTTCATGCTTTTGCTGAAAGGCATTGTTTTACAATACATTTCCCAGGTACGTGAGATGAGAAGGAAAGGAAGTAACTACAGAGAGTAATTAGAAATAATCAACAGTCTGTTCTTCAAAATAATTTAATGAAATGCTCTGCTCCATAGTGTTACGAATCATCTTTGGTCTTGATCCTTACGGGAGTTTTTGTTCATGTGGTCTGATGTGACCAAGCTTCCATGATAGAACTTTCCAAGTGCAAACGTTGATGCCGTTTAGGTCATGGTTTGGACTATCAGATGTTATCTTTCGTTAAAATTTTGAGTTATTACTCCCTGAGCAACATCCTGCGATCTCCTCTTTCCGAAAACACCCTCAGGAGTTGTAAACACATTGATACGTGTCTTCCCAAAGCTCTAGCAAGTGATGTCTGGCATTAAAGATACCCAGGTGTGTTTGTCCTCCCTTGGACTGGGTGCACGGGTCATGCATAGCTTCATCATCACAAATTGGTCATGCACGAATACAGACAAGGCTGATCTGTCTCTGGCTTTGCGTTAATATCTCTGCCGCAACCAAGGGGTTTTGAAAGTGAAGTCTGGCACTAATTTATGAGAGCGATGTGGGGGGAAAAAAAAAAATAGGTCAGCAAGTATGAAAGGTGCTGACAAGCATATAATACCTAGAGATTGTTAAAAAGGAAAAAAAAAATAGCCTTAAGACGGCCTTTGCAAGTAAGCAAGCTGTTGTGCCTGAGGTTTCCTAGGCATCGGAGCAGGGCAGAGGTGAAGTAGCTTGCTGGAGGACATGTGAGAAGGCTGTGGCAGAACTGGGGAGCAGTTGGGGAATTCAGATTTCCTAATACCACGTTCCTCGAAAGGAAGCTAACAAAATGGCAATGTGGCTGTTTGAGCAGGCTTGTTGCTTAGAAAACTGATCTTTGTAGTTGTACGCCCCATTTGTGAATAGATTCAGAACTCGGAGAGGCCACCTTTCTGTGCTAACTCAAGTTTTTCAAACTTTAGCTCTTTCATTTCTGCATATTTAAGGGTGAAAAAATTGCATCATAAAAAGCAGAAATATTAGAAAGTTAGATGCTAAAGTGATAGCTTCTATTTAAAGCATTATCTCTGCATTGATACTCTGCAGCTAAGGTTAAACTGACCTTGCCTTTCATGAGACAAGTGAGAGCATGTATCACAGCAAGAAACATCCGTGCAAACTGCACTGATTCACTAGCTACAAGCACATGTGCGTTGCAACTGTGAAGAAAAGGGAGTTCTGAAATCACTGATGTGCTGCTTTCAGTCAAATTGCTAGCGTCATCAAAATAGCCTTTATGGCACGTGTGAGGCATTGGATCTATCTGTTTCCTAAAATAACCTCCAATTGCTTACAGCAGGCTTTTGGGACTTACTGCTGTGACTATTTTTTCCATTTTCCAGGGCTGGGTTTTAAATTTCTATACGCCTTCTCCAATATCTGGATGCTCAGCAGTCGGACTGAGCAGCAACCAAAATCCTCACTGTAAGTGATGGAGGAGGACAGAGCAGGATCTGATTCTTCTCTCTAGACACCATGGATATTTTGATGATGAAACTTGCAGCTGAGTTCCTTGTGGGCTGAACAGAGTGAATATGGTTGACAGAGTTTTTACGTAGCACCAAAGTACACACACACACCCCCCCTACACTTGCACCTTAAAGGAAGGAAATGGCACTAGGATCCTGGAAATGCTCCTCAGCTGGGAGCTTGGGATGGGGGTTTTCCTACTGAAAATGGCCCTGGGAGTAGGTCGCTCTTCCCTCCTGTACAATTATTTTTATTACCTGCATATTTCCTACTTTTGACACTAACTCTTCCGTTGTTCTTGTTTTCAATTTAGGAGCCGTAGCTCTTCTGCCCACTTGTAAGTGCAACTGGTATGGGTAATGGTGTGAAAGAAGGTCAAGTGGATTTCAAACAGCAGGATGTGGAGCCAGTTACATCAACCCATCTCCCATCAGAGGTAAGAGCAGGAGATTGTTGGGTGTGTGCAACGGGTTTGAGAGAAGAGCTGTGTGGCTACTCTAGAAAGTAAGTAGCTCAATAGGATTTGAGCTGTGGAGCCCTGAAAGAGTTGCAGTGTACGTGCAAGCCACGTAACATGTAACCTTTGCTTTCTCTGAGGACAGCCAAGCAGCTCCAGCCCTCTGGGAAGAGGCTGGGCATCGCTCACAGCTGACAGACAGGCAGGGCTGTGTTCCGTGTTCAAGTTTATGTCTTGTTATGTCTTTAGTGGCAGAGCTGGGAAGAGAGCCACAAGTCTTGGTTTCCCCGCTCTTGCTGCTGTTACTAGACTCCTGCTAGAAATACTGGAAGAGATGCTGAACCTTGGTCTGATTTAGACCAAAACAGGCTGAAGTTCACACAGTGCTGCCTTTGCATGGCTGCCCTTGCGTTTAGCCCCAGACAGGCAAAGATTGGAATGGAAAATTGAACTGAACCATGTATTTTGGTAATAAGCATTAACTTCTTAGCTGTGAAGCAATCTGAAAAAAGAAAAATGTTAACTCTTCTTCATGAAAACACAAAGCATATCAAAAGTTAACATTCTTAAGCCTTGTCTTGACTTGTCTTTCAGTCCGTGACCTTCACGGTGTTACATTTCGAGTCATTTACTTGCTTTCTGCCCCTGTGTTATGAGAAGATACCTGCTTTATAAATACGAGCTGTGGCAGGAATGTCAGTAACAAAAACACTTCCATTCCATTTATCGTAGTAGGAAACCTGTCTTGTTTTATTCTTAGGATCTTGGGAACAATGTGGAAATAGGGCTTGTGTGTTACTGGAAGGGCAAGAAAGAAACTTACCTTCTGTACACGGCTAAATCATGAGGAGGTAGTGGCTTAGCTTTTAGAAATCTTAACAGAGAGAGAACAGTACATGCAAGAGGTGACAGACCTTGGAACTTTGCATCTTGGCAGACAAGTCTAATCTTTGTTCTTCGTGATCTGACCAGGAATTTACTGTGCTTGAAATTCTGAAGAGAATTTTGACCCAAGTCCTTGAGAAGGGGGTAAATGCTGCAGCAAAGGTAAAATATTACAACTTTTGCTTAGGACTGACTGTGTCAGACTGAACAGTGCTTTGTTCCAGGGTAACCAGGAGAAAAAGAAAGTACTCAACTCCCTGATGTCTGGTGCATTGGCTGGTGCTGTTGCTAAAACTGCAGTGGCTCCACTGGATAGGACAAAAATCATGTTTCAAGGTGAGTCCCGTTGGCTTTTGCGAAATGCTCGTACTTTATTGTTAGCAGAATCCAAACCAGCTTCTCTGATCTGCTTGGCCAAGCCTGTTCTCCAGTGCTTTGTCCTCCTTCAGTCTGCAGAGACCTGGCAGGATGCAGACAGAATAGCGACATTACCACAGTGAATCGAGTCTAAAAACCTATTGTTTGATTCTTGGTAGGATTAGTGCAGGTGTCAATCAGCTGTGCATCTGGCCCGTACTATTGGATCCAAGTCTCACGGTAGTCAGCAAGAGTTTTGCTATTTCAGTGTAACGCAGATGCACGTATTGCTGGTCAGAGGTGATGCCCGTGGCTCGTGAACGTTGGCTGGCCACGTGTGTTCTGTGACATAAGGGAGAGTTTTGGAGTGCAGAGTAAATAGACACTGTAAAGGCAGCATTTGAGGGGATGATTGGTAACGCTCCGGGTTTCTGTGTCTGTTCAGTTTGGAGAAATAAGGTGGGGAGGGGAAAGGAGCAATGTAAGGATGCGTGGTGACACTGGAGGGAGGTAATTGAGCTGTTTGAATTTCTTGCTTAAAGGCTGGATGCCAGGCTGTGCCTGCTCAGATGTATGCAGTCTTTTCTGCTAAGAGTTGCATTGTATCGCAGCCGAATTGCTTTGGTTAGATTTGAAGTTAATGGTGAAAAGCAGTGCAAGAGGCATTGAAGCTGGCATACCTAGCTTTGTATTACAAAGCCCTTTTTGGAACCTGTAAAGTGTGTAACTGAAAATGAAATTAATCTAATTGGAATAGAAAATTCTCACACGTTTAGCGGGATTTGGGATTCAGCCCCATCATAGGCTCTGTTCAGTTCCCCTGTTTCAGTGCAGGAACTGTCAGCTACACTAATTGTCCCGAAGGGAAGGGTGCAGACAGTTAATACAGTAGACATTTGGTGAGGCCAAGAATTTTAAATCTGGTTGACATCCCAGATGAAATGAATTGGGTAGGTTTAATCTAATCCCTGGACGAGATTTAATTTTGAATTGACTTTCATTTGACATGATTTTCATTCTCAGCATAGCAGGGGCTGAGGTCTGGAATAGCGGGGATATAGATCAGGGAGTTCAAGCCGTAGGGAGCTAAAGCCTGGGCTGGCTGCAGGCTGGGATTGCATCTGTGACCAGATGCTTGTGCAGCAACGAGTACGCGCTGTGCTTTCTCACCAGAACAAACACTGTAGTTCATCTAAGGTTGGAAATGTCAGGATCAGAGGTGAGATGGAAACTGCAGAACTGGGGTGAGTCAACAGCTGTCTGTATAGATCACCGTTAATTTGTACAGGCCTACATTTATAACGAGACCTGTTTAGTTTGGCCCATTAAACTCGCTGCAGAGGATATGATTAAAAATTGCCTGTTCAGACCAATTTCTGGGTACCTAATGTATTTCTTAGTCTCTTGCTCTCCTGAGGGGTTTTTACCCTGAGGCTTCTTCCCTGCCTGAAGAGGGAAAGCGTCGTTGGGTCATGTGGGTGTAGGAAGGTTGTCCCTTGAACTAGAGACTGAAGAATTTTCCTGCGGGAGAGGGAGAAGAGCTCTTTTCCATTGCAGAGCCAGCTGCAATTGCTTATTGAGGTGTTTTTATTTCTTAAAAAAAAAAAGTGTTGAATTGCATAAAGGAGGAGCGTGGTGAAAATGTATTTGCATGTGATTGTTTGATACGCTTGAGAGGTTACAAGTCTCAAAGGAGTTTGAAAGAAACTGCAGTAGACACTTAATTGGAACCATGTTTCATTAGCGTTGCTGTTCGGGTTTTAGCCTGGGTTTTCTTCCTGCTGTAGGAATGTTACAAAACAGAGCTGCTGTATGCCAAATAAATCTTGCTTCCAAATGCCTTGTGTATTACATAGTTAAAAAGATGCTGTCAGTTTGAATGGATGCAAGAAAAGAAACTGAGTGTTCATTTGAGTTTTGCTAGGATGAAACCATTCTTGCGTGGAGCCTCACTAAACAGACCCGTTCTTTGCTGAGTTCTGGCATTAGGCTGGAACCTGTGCATGGAGATGCTTTACTAAAATAAGTGGTCGGTGCAGTTTTGATTTTTTTAAAATTTTTTTATTTATTCGTTTATTTTTAGTGCTTTAAAGTAAGAAGTGTGACAGAAACTGAGCGTTTTCATAACAGTAGGTGGAAAAATGAACTTATGCTAAAGAGAGTTTGGGAGCACTTATCAGTCTTTGTTTATTATAAAGAATCTCTGTTTTCTCTTGCACTAATTCTTTTGCTTCTATTTTTATCCCTTAGATAAAATGCCTGTAGAGTTTATTTGATCCATCTAAATGTATTGCAAGACCTAATGCTCATTTTTTCTTTTCAGTGTCTTCAAAAAGATTTTCTGCCAAGGTGAGGTGATGTGTCTGTCTCCTGTTGACCTGAAGTGTTTGATTAATGGTAGTAATAGCCCTAACAGCATCTTTTGTTTGTATTTATTTAACTTTCTTGCTTGGGTTTTATTAGCAGCACTCACAGTGAAAGAGCATAGAGGGAAAGACTGGAAACAGTATTGTTTATAATACTCCTTAGGACAGTGCTCTTTCATGTTCATGTTTTTTGTCCCGTGCCTGGCACAGAGGGCCCTCAGTCCTCGTTCATACTCCAGGTTCTACCTGTGACATGACAGTAAATGTTGTGGCATCGCTCAGGGCTTTGTTTTGTTGGGCCTTCTCCTCTAGTGGTTGCTTTCTTTCCCCCAACCACCATTGGAGTTGTTTCAGAGTATATAGGAAATTTGAATTTGGGAGCTGATCGCTATCACGGCTTGCTGAACGTTTTGTTGCATGTGCATTACAGATGTTCCACGTGTGCTGTGCTAATATGTGTAATCCAAATGTTTCTGTCTTACACTAAGAAGATTAATGTGGCTTGAGAAATGGTTTGTGCAAACAGCAATCCAGCTCTCTGCCTTGCCCTCGGAGGGAAAATGAAGATGTCTTGAATGTAAAACTCTTTTTCTTCCTGGCTCCGGTTCTTTTTTTCTCTAATGTATTTAATTCGGTCTCCCTAGAGAAGACGTTTTAGTTGTCTTATTCTGGAGTCAGGGTTGCGAGCGTAAACAGCTGATATCAGCTTACTGTGGTTGGGGTGGGAAGGAGGATTTGGAGAGGTTAAGCTATAGGGTCACCTTTTCGCCCTCTATTGTTTGGACTCCCTCTTATCACAATCTCCCTGTCTGACCTTTGATCCGTTGCCTGCAGGAAGCCTACAGGCTGATTTATCGCACCTACCTCAATGAAGGCTTCTGGAGTCTCTGGCGGGGGAACTCAGCCACCATGGTCCGCGTGATCCCTTACGCTGCCATTCAGTTCTGTGCGCACGAAGAGTACAAGCAGCTCCTGGGGAGTTACTACGGCTTCCAGGGAAAGTAAGATGCAGCGTGGCTTTGATCCTTGCAGAGGAGGATGGAGCAGTTTGTGGGACCATAGATTGTAGGGAGGGAGCACGTTTCTCTGCTTTGTGCAGGCCTGCTGAGTTGAAAGCCCTGTTGGTACAGAGTTGTGCTGGCCCCTCACTTGATGGCTTCACAGAACAGGGGATGTGAGGGGGCTAAGCAAAGGGCTGGGCTTCTAGTCTTGCACAGGGGAGATCTTTGTGAGAAGACGACCCTGTCTTCTAGAGGCATGAGCAAGAAGTGGCCTAGACATTGAGTTAGCACTTCCCTGTGCTGAGAGTGGGCAGGCAAAACAAAGAGCTTTTCTTTGCAGGAGAAGCAACAAGATCCAGCCTTGCGCTGTTATCTGAGCCATGCGTGTGGCCTGAGCCTCTTGCTCTTGGGCATGTAGTGTCTGAGACACGCCAAGTCAGGCTTGCTGTCCTCAACAGATACTTCTCTAAGCCTATGTCTTGAATGGCTGTGGCAAACCACAGCTGCTTCAACCCCCACCCACCCAACTCTCTTCAGTACACAGGCAGGGAAGGGATTCAGTAGCTGATAGAGTAGAGCCATCCTCAAAAGCCACATAGTATTTCCATCTCCAGGTGATCTGTTTGGTCTCTTCTCTCACCTTACTTTAGAGCGCTGACACCCTTTCCTCGATTCATTGCTGGCTCTCTGGCAGGCACAACGGCTGCCATGTTAACCTACCCCTTGGATATGGTCCGTGCTCGAATGGCTGTCACGCCGAAGGAGATGTAAGTGCCTAATGAAAGCAAGTACAAGCACCACGAACAAATGCAGAACTTTCTTTTAAGGTCAGATGACTTTATTCCCATTTTCTGGGTCACTTCTTGCTCGGAGCCTTTGGTGTAATAAACCTCTTAGTGCTGGGGTCTGAGCACTGATTAAATGACCAGAGCCCTGGTTAGTCCAGGGACTGGAAGGAGATCGATACTGAAAGACCTCACTAGTAAAACCTGTGTGTTGGTTCTTTAGGAGGCCAGCTGGCACAACGCCTCCGGAAGAGATCTAACAGACAGGATAGCATGTTGTGATAGGGCTATAGGAGAGCTGGTGACTGGCTTCTCCATTTGCAGACAGCCTTCTGAAATCCCTTCTGAGCTGTTTGAGCTCAGAGACGAATTAATTAATTGTTCATCCTTCAGAAAGTCCTGTTGGAAATATTACTGGTGTGTGCAGTCACTAACCAGCACAGATTTGGTTTTCCTGTGTCCACATGCTAGGTACAGCAATATTGTTCACGTCTTCATCCGAATATCCCGAGAGGAAGGATTGAAGACATTGTATAGGGGATTTACACCAACCATCCTTGGAGTGATTCCATATGCTGGGCTTAGCTTCTTCACCTACGAGACATTGAAGAAACTACATGCAGGTAAAGGCAACTTGGTTTGCTTTCAAATGAAATGGTGTAGGCTTTTGGCCAACTTGAGATGTTTGAATTCAGTGGTACAAGTCCTTTTCCTAGCCTTGAAGCCAATTGCAAAGTTCTGTGCTTGTGGAGGATGCCTTGTGCTTCCCTCTCTCCAATTCCAGGCTATGAAGAAGGCAAGCTGCAGAAAAGCAGTATCTCTGTCTTGCAGAGGAACAGGAAGGTGCGAGTCCTGGGTGCAGAAGGACTTGGTTACATACCAAGTCAGCTAACAACCAAGTTGGGAACAAAATCTCAGGAGCTCTGGCTCTCAGCCCGCTTGACCTTAATCATGTGTTTATTACAAGAAGCTTTCTACACTTTGCTACTTTCTCTTTTCCTAGATCACAGTGGGAAACTGCAGCCATCCCCTCCGGAGCGGCTTTTGTTTGGTGCCTGTGCAGGCTTGATTGGCCAGTCAGCTTCTTACCCCCTGGATGTGGTTCGCCGACGAATGCAGACAGCGGGGGTTATGGGACACACGTACAGTTCCATCCTTCTCACCATGCAGGAGATTATAAGAGAAGAGGGACTAATCCGTGGCTTGTACAAAGGACTCAGCATGAACTGGGTCAAAGGTCCAATTGCAGTGGGAATAAGCTTCACAACCTTTGACCTGACGCAGATCCTTCTCCGTAAATTACAGCACAGCACTAATGTTGAAAGGTAGTAGCTTAATCCCCACAGCCTTTGCTGGGGAAAAGTACAACACGTGTAGAAAGAGCAATGCTAGCATTCCCTCACTTCGTACATGCTGTCCTGCAGCTGAGAACTTACCTTTCTTGATTGTTTGTTTGTTTTTTCTGTTGTTGTTGGATTTTTTTCTTTTTAATGAGCCTATGGGTTGTTTGGAAACCTCGACCTGAAACTAACTCTTTCCTAAACAAAATTCTTCTTACAATTCTGCAGAACCGAGTCCTCTAAAGTAGCTGCCTCACCCTTCTGTTTTACTCTTCGATACCAGGAGCGGAGCCTCTCAAACAAAGATGTGCTGCTGCTGGCTCCTCACCTGGTCTCTGTGGGCAGATGAAGTGGTGGGTGATGAGAGAGAGGACTCGGTGCTGTTGGAATGACCCCCTGAATCTGGGAAGTGACTGCTGCTCCTGGTAGGCAGTTTTTAGTTACTGAACGTGTGTTAGCTGGAGGCAGTCTGCCAAGTGCAATATTGCAGTAAGTTTGTAGGGAATTCCAGATTCCTCTGACCTGTAAGCATCGGTCTCCATAAAACAGGACACAGCAGGATTTAACAGGTCCAGGTCACTTCTTTTGTTCTGGAAGTTGAATGTGAGCTCCGGCTGGAAATGCTGCCCTTTTTCAAATGTTCTTCTCATTTCTGGGTTTTGTTACATAAAATATCCCTTGCTGGCAGTGTCCCTCTGAGATTACCAAAGACTGTAGACAGCAGGGGAGGAAAGTTCTGAGCAGTTTTGTAAATCAAATTCTCATGTTTGTTGTCAGTGTTTGTTGAGTTGGGGCTGTGCCTGGATTCACAAACTGGATTGAGTCGAACTGCAGTAGTGCTTTCGGGCTACCCAAACCCCTCCGTTGTTGTCATGGTCTTAAAGGCAGTGTTTTCTGAGGGATTTGGCAGACTGTAGTGTTGATGCACTAGAAAAGGAAGTGCTACGTACTTAAAACTTAAGCAGTTTTATCCTTCAGTATTATTGTTGCCGCTTTATGCACGACGCAAGAACAAACATCTCAGACGCACGTGTGATGCAGACTTAGCTATCCTGAAAGGCCATTCACGTCTGGTGAATACAGCCTAGTAGTTGACTCAAGCTGCTGGCCCTGCTTCTGAACAACCTTGTTGTCTTCTGGTGCCTGCTGTGTACGTTGTGTCGCCTCCGTTCGTTAGTCCACATCTAAGCCCGCTTGCTTTTATTCCTAGAGTTCTTCTGGACCAACTGTGTCCTTGGGAGAACGGGCTCCACAACCGGTATTGACCCTTCAGAAATTATATATAGTGCCAATCATTTCCAGTTGCAATTTGAAAATGAATGGTACAGTACCTTTCAGTGTTTCTATTTCAAGTCCATCTTCAGGGAAATGGAGATTTAGGGGTGGTTTTGTTTTATGTTCCATTCCTATATTAAATTTGGAGTGCAAGAGAGGTCAGAGCAAACTTTAGACTTCTCTGAGAATCGGATTACATAAGCCAAGATTAAAAATCCCTTTCCAGCTGATACAGTCTGTAATGTATAAAAGAAAAATAAGGCATAATTTAAAAGCTGTCTTTTTCTGGTGTATGTATTTTAGCCGTTGTAGTTTGAGCCTTGTGTCATGGCTTTATTAATGGGAATGGAGGTAATTGCACAATTGGTAGAAATAGCTTTCTCCTTTCTTTTGTCTTTGCACTTGTTCTTTGGAGCATAACTTGCTTCTAATGCCAAATATTTCCCTAGGGACTGAGCACCTACACTTCCATTTTGTGGACATGGTGGAGAGCCAGCATACCGAAGTATTAGCATGCATGTTGTTCCCAGAACACGTGGGATTGATCATACTTTAATGGTTGTGGATGGGCGGGGTATTAACCTCAGTAATTTCTGCCTCCAAGCCCACAAATGATGATTTCCATTGTGAAACTTGACTGCAGTCACTGATTTACCTTGTAATTAAAGAAATGTTAGGTGTTGTTGTTTTAAGAGTCTTTAGAGATGATAGCCATGAATTCTGTGTGTTTTTTGCTCCCATTGCTAATGGAAGATGATCGGCTGTTCTCTTTGTTTGGGTGAAATGTTGTTTAGTCCTTTGCAAGAGCTCTGATTTCTTTTCTCCAATGGAGAAGCCAATTACTTCTGCTCTTGTCTTTATCTTGTCTGGCCCAGTGAGGAAATACGACGGCAGTTGCATCCTACCACAAAAGTGAGGTACAGACCAGCAACTACTTGTGTCAGCAGTTGACTGAGCGTACGTGCGTGTATGTGTGTCTGACTGTGTACAATCCATGCCAAGTTCTCTCTCAGCTTGGAGGCTGCCAGTTCAAAGCACAGCCCTTTCTGCACAGCCGGTGGCTACTGTATGAAGGCGAGAGGAAGCTGAACTGTGGCATCCAAGTTAGAGCGAGCTCCTTTGCTCCGCAGTACGGTAGGTCATCTCAGAGGCAAGCGCAGCAGACCTTGTCTCATGAGATGTTGAGCATCACTGAACCCTTACGGCAAGAGAGGTGGCTTAATTCCTCCTGGGTCCTGACTGAGGAAGGATTTACACTGGATGACTAGCCTCTTGTTTGGGACTGAGCGGGAGGGCAGATCTGCACAGGGTACCTTCTGCCACGTCAGAAGTGCAGCTAGTGTATTAAATGAACGGGAAGCCTGTGGAGGAGTCAGGTTCTGGCTGGCTGACTCCGGCATCACCCACCTTGCAGCTGAAACGCAGTGCAGGCAGCTCATCTAGAGCCTGGGGGCTCTGAGCTGAGAAACAAGACCTGAAGCACAGCCAGGCTTGGAAGCGTTGGGCTCAGATAAGTTGCTCCTTAATTAGCAGCTGCACCTGATTTTATTTCAATGGAATTTTAGCCAAACACATTTTTCCAAGTTTTGCAGGCTGAGTGTTTGTTCAGAGACAGATCTTTGAATTCAGTCTGTAATGGTTTTGGTGCTTTTGTTTCTTGGGCAAAAGTGTTCAGAGCACTGTGTGTTATTGCTTTGGGTTGTTTTAAATAGCTTTTTACTTTTTTTTCTTCTCTGATTTGAATGTAGAAAAGGAGAAACAGAGTGTTCTCTTCCCTTCTCTTAATGTTTGCATGAATTGAGATGTGTTCCAGATCTCTCTGCTGCCTGGAATGAGTGCCCGAGGAGTTTTGGGCATGCTGATTTGGAAAGGGAGGGTGCCTGTGTGCTGGCCAAGAAGGTCCATTGCCTTTAGCTCTGAGAAAGGAGACAAGTCTAACAGGAATATTCTCTAGTCCTTCTTTTCTGTAGAACTTCTCTACGACCCCAAATTCCCCATTTTTTTCATTTTAAGCTTCTCAAATTCCTTGCTTTTATTTTCAAGTCATGTTTCTCATTGTTCCTTAATGCGTTACCGCCAAACATTAATTTGTGCTTTTTTTTTTTCTTGTCTACTCTCCCTCCCTCCCTGCTTCTGCACCTTTAGTCCTGCACTAGCACTTCGAGAAAATCAGGTCCAATGAAATGCATCCAAAATGACGAAATTGCAGCTTTGATAGCGATGCCCAAACAGCCCAGCTAGGCTTCCCAGTCACAGGCAGCGATGCTTGGGGGAGGGGGGCCAAGAAGTTAAAGGCACTAGATGATGGGGCAGAAGGTTTTCTTGAAAGGTTCTTGAACCTGCTTATCCAGCCTAGTGCCTTTCCTTCTCCTAGCACCTTTCCTTCACAAGCTGTGAAATGCTGCTGCTTCTTATCGTTCCCTCTTTCTGTACCTCCACGTGGTGCCCGCTGTGCTCTGTGAAAGTGGCTGCTGCCTGGGTAGGTAGCTCGGGGAGAGCTGGTCCTTCTGGGAGCCTTGGAGGGTCAGTTAGGGAACTTGAATACGTGAGAGGTGGGATCGGAGCTGGCTTCTTGCAAACCCCTTTGCCCTGCATGCCCCGTGCAGACCTTTGCCAGTTCCCCGGGAAGACAGAGCTGCCGAAGAGCTGTGGTGGCAGGACTGTGGTGGAAGGATCAGGAGAGGAGTCATGGCTTCCTGAGGCATTAAGTCACCGAAAGCCATGGGGTGGGTAGTGTGGTGTAGCATTGGTACTCCATGGAAGCTCTCCAAAAGCAGTTTCATACCTTCTGTGGAAAAGTAGTGGTACTTCTGTGAACTTCTTATTGCCTTCCGCCTAGAAGGGCTCGAGCACTATCATCTTCACCCTCTGGTGTCTTTAACACAAGAGCAGATGAGGCATGAAAGGAAACTTTGAGCAGAAGCACTGTGGCAACCCCGAGCGAGTCTGGGGGGTTCCTGGGCGGGCAGGAGGAGGAGGAGGAGGAAGTGCAGTGGGATAATTCCCATGCCGTTTCCCCAGTGCCTGACTGGGTACTTGGGCTCCGCAGGGAGCCAGGGCGTATGTTACGGACCCTCCCTACCTGGACTGGGCCAGAGGAGGAGGTGGCCTTCCTACAAAACAGCCTTTTTCTTATTGTAGGGGCTGATTCCTCCTGCTACCCCCGTCTCCCCCTTAAATGCCATGTGATGCAGGGTTTCCCAGCACTGTTCACTGCCTGTGTGGTCTATGCATATATTAGCACAAACATTGTTAAATGCCTTTTGTCAAGACGTGTCCTCACCATCAATGTGTGCGTGTACGTATGTGTGTCAATTTTGACTGCTTTTCTTGGATCTGGAGTTCTATTTTATTGCAGTGAAGACACTTTGTTATATAATGTTTATATATTTTAAGATTTGTGCCAAGAGAGGATGTATATTTAATAAAAAATATAATTGACTTTGCAGGCTCTCTGAGGGTGTCTCCTATTGTATGTTGCTCATAAGAGAGAGGGGCCTGGCACATCTGGGTGGATTTATTGAGAGACTAAACGTGGGGGTGTCTGGGTGGGGGCGGCTGCGGCTGGGGGTGCCTTTTGTGGGGCTGACTGTGCCCCCAACCACACAGGTCTCCTGTGCGTGGAGCTCCCTCCAAAGTCCCTCCCGTGGAAGTCGGGAGAAGCCTGAAGGAAGGAAAGCCCCTCTGGAGCTGGCTCGAAACCTGTGGTTCCTCCAGAGGAGGCCTGTGCTGTCCCCGTCCCCTGCGCCGCAGTGTGGGACGGGGACAGGCGTGCAGTGGCAGCAGGTGGCACTGTCGGCTTAGGCATGGCCCGGTGGCTTCCCCGAAGTTGGGGGTCCCCCGGCTGCTGCTCAGCCCTGCTCGGCTCTTGGGGCTTTCAGCTGCATTTCAGGTCTGGCGTGGATGTGCCATTGCAATGCTTTGCCATCTCGCGCTCCTTGCAAGGCAGGGAAGTCTCAGCAGTGAGGACAGATCCAGCCCTCTCGCGGTAACCTCCCCGTAGCCCGCTGCTGCTCCCTGCAAGGCAGGGCAGAGCCCGCGTCCTGGTCATACCCCAAGGGAAACTGAGACCCCAGAGGCTGAGACTTGCAGTAAACCTTGCGGGAAGCCTGTGGCAGAGCGGGAGAACGGTCCCTGTCCACCTCCCCCGGACCGGCTGCCTCTGGACTCTGCCGGTTGAGGGTAACGTCCCTGCCTTTTGGCTTTCTGGCTCCCTGTGTGCAGGGGAGCGTCCACCCAGGTTGGTTTGGGCTGCCAGCCACGGAGAGAGCTGCGATTAGAAATTTCTCTCTGCTCCAAGCAGGAACAGCTCCGCAGGACGCAGGCAGCAAGGATGGCAAGGGGATCTCATTTTGGAGGGAAGTGGGGTGGGAAGGCAGGGCTCACTGCTTTCTTCCCTGCCAGGGCACGAAGGAAGACCTCCAGAAGCTGCTGCGATCCAAGCCCTCTCCCCAGGCCGTGGTTTCTTGCCAAGTTTGGCTCGGCAGGAGCCAAAGGTAGGTGTGCACTAGGGCAGCAGGGGCGATGCGAGGCCACATCTGGGTCACAGCAGGGACTCCTGGTGCCAGTCTGAATCCTGGTGCCAGCGGAGCCTCTGCAGCTACAAAACCTCTTGGTCCCAGCTGCTCCCCTCTCTGCTGAGAGCCTGAGCGTGGCCCTTTGCAGAGCAGAGCCCAGCCCGTACCGCATTCTAAATCAAAGATACAAAGAGTAAAAATAATTCTGGGGTGAGGAAGATGGGGGGGCTCTTTCATTTTATTTGATGTGGCCCAATTTCAGTGCCTGTGGATCTGTCTCCTGCTCTTGGCTAGTCTATCAGTCATTGTCCCCGCCTGAGAGGGTCACGTCTGGGCAGATCTCAGGGGAGGAACTGTCTGCATGTCTGAATGCGGTACAACCCCAGGCCCTAGCAACCGTCCTCCTGCTGCGAAGGCTTCCCTGCCAGCTCAGCCCCCGGCTGCTTCCTCCACATGCTTAAGGAAAATTAGATAAATGAGCCATCAAGGCAGTCGGACTAGCTTTTAATGGGACGGCGCAGGCTGGAACAAGTCCCCCTGCATCCTGGCCCTGGGGGAATCGTTTCTTCCTTGCACCTTTCCACCCACGTCTTGGTGACAGTGCTGCTGGAGCCAAATTCCTCCTGGCCCTGTGCTGGTTAATGGTGCTGCTCTGGGCTCTGGTTTCCCCAGCTGTTTGCTAAAGGGGAATTTCCCCATAATTTTTTGCAAAAGGGCTTTTACTGTGTCTGCAGCTTGGGTATTCGGGAACCAGGCGGAGGAGGGCTGTCCGGATTAGTCCTGTTAACACCGGGCAAAGGGCTGCCTTCTCATCTCAGCCCTTAGCAAGAGGGAATTAAGACCATTACAAGGCTATCAAATAGGATCAGAGCTCCTCTCCCTTTCTCTGAGCAGCCCAGACCTGCTAATCCTTTTTCATGCAGCTGGACCAGCACCCACCATGCGGTGGGGAAGAGCCTGGCTGAGATGGACAAGGGGCTGCAGACCCCCCCACCCCCCCCCTGCAGCCACCGTTGGGCTGTACAGTGCTTTATCAGCGCGGGTGCGATCCCAGTGCTGAGGGGAGGAAGGGCCAGGAACAGGCACCGACTCGGGCTGTGATGGGGTGAACGTGAGGTCTCCTCCTCGAGTGCGATGGGGCCGGGCTGCAGGGTTTGTTTAAGTGCTCAGCCTCTTCCCCTTGCTTTGCTGCTCGCCTGCCTGCCCAAAGGCAGCTGCCCTCGCACTGTGGGACCCCCTGCCCTTCTCGAGGGGCTTTGGGGCCACAAAGTGCAAACAAAGCAGCAGCTTTCAGCGTGGCAGACGGACTCTGGGTTACTTATTTATTTCTAGAACAGCCAACAGCTGAGGCGGCTGCTGGGCCTGAGGATTTCACACGAAGCAGAGGGATGACCCCAAGGAGCTCCGACTCAGCTGGCCAGAGCAACAACCCTACAAAAACACACTCGACCTCAGCCGGCGGAAGCAAACACTAGGCAGAGGAAACTCCAAAGTCCGTGCTGGCAAGCCACGCTGTCGCTCCAGCCTGGCTGTGGTGGGGTCTCCACCACACAAGGGTGATCCCTGCCAAGTCCTCTGCCTGGCACGTATTGCCCAGGGCTGGCAGGAGCTGCTGCCCTCGAGAAAAACAGAGCAGCAGAGCCTTGGGCAGCCTCAATGGGTCAGAGCAGGCAGCAGCAAACCCGACTGCGGGGCTTCAGCTCCTCCATCACCATGCGGGGCTGGGAAGGGGAAGAGGGACGCAGCCCGGAGCGGCAGCGGGGCAAGAGCAGGCACAGTGGTGATTGGCAGCAGGAGCAGGCGATGCCCACGCCAGCCCGCATGCATAAAACCCGTCGTGACAAGAACTGATGACAGAAATGTTCCCACATGTGTGTCCACGTGTGCCACGGGCACCTGCAAAGGGGGGAAACCAGCCGAGGCAGGAGCAAGGGGACCAGCAGCTGGGCACCACCTGCACCCCAAGGCAGGTCCCAGCTCCCCGCAGTCAGGAGGCTGCCAGGTACTGGTGGAAGTAGAGGCCGAAGAGGCTGGTGACGACCTGGCAGGCGGCCACCCACCAGGTGAGGAAGGCGAAGAATCCGCGGAAGAAGAGAGGCGTGAAGATGCCGCCCAAGACGCCTGTGATCTGCTCCACCGCGGCACGCACGTCCTCCCTGTCCTCGCTGCCGGGACGTGGCGGTGCTGCGGTCGCTGCCGGAGGGAGGGGAGGGGGCTCCGGGTACAGCCCCCACGAGTGCTGCCCTGCATGACAGAGGGGACAGGTCCGCGGGGGTCGATCCCTGCGCTGCAGCCCCATCCCCGTGCTACAGACGTGCTGGTGGCTGAGTCCCAGCACGCTCGCTGCATGCATTAGGTTCATGCCCAACTGCAAACCATGTCTTGAGAGCCTGGGGACGCCTTGGACACTGATGGCTTGACGATGACTTGCAGGTCTCATCCTGTCCCTCCCGAGCCCCCGTGTCCCCCGCGTCCCCCCGACGCCTCCTTACCCAGCGTCTTGAGGAGCAGCCCCGAGCCCCCGCGTCCCCCCGATGCCTCCTTACCCAGCGTCTTGAGGAGCAGCGTGCAGTGGAGGGTGAGGATGATGGGTCCCAGGTACTGCAGGCTGACCACGGAGACGTAGCAGTAAATCCTTGTGATCTGTGGGCAGTGGGGATCAGCGGGAGGCCGGTGGCCGTGCACGGACCCCAGCTCCCACCCCAGCTCCCGTGTCCGGACCTTGCGCTGGATCTCCAGGACAGCGATGCGCCCGGCTTCCTTCCTCATCTGCTCCACCCAGCGCTCGGCCAGGCCCAGGTACGCCTGGAGGTGGTGGCGGGTGACGGCCAGGCGCAACAGGCAGAGGCCGACGATGGTCCAGAGGCGCGTGGTGTTGTAGGCAGAGTCCGACATGCTGGGGCAAGAGGAGGGGGCTGTCGGGGAGATCTCAGAGTCCAGAAACCCCCTGTGCCCCAGAGGGGGTGTCTGATGGGAGAGGTGCTGGGGAGGATGGGGGGGGCTACTGGTGTTGGAGGAGGTGGACTGGTGCACCTGTGCCTCAGTTTCCCCTCGGAGCAAGGATGCCGGGACACAGAGTCGGACCCGCTGCCGGTGCCCCACTTACATCTGCACCGTCTGCTTGCCCATGGGCGCGTGGAGCAGGAAATCCCGCGAGATGGGCTTGATCCACATCACCACCACAAGGACAGGCGCCAGGAAACTCAGGTGGAGCAGGACCCTGTGGCGGAGCCGTCAGAGACCCCCATGCAGCCTGGTGCCCCCCACCCGCTCCCTCCCTCCATCCCTCCATGGGCAGGGACCGGTCCTCGCCCACACCCTCTCCACCCTCTCCCACCACCCAACCTCCTCGCCGCCCTGCAGCCACAGAGTCGGGGGGTTCCCGGCCCCCCGAGACGCCAGCGCCGACCCCCTCGCCTCCTTCCCCACCCGCAGATTTCACCCAACTGGGTCAGGGGCTTGTCGGCCGCCATCCGGAGAGCATCAAGGTGCGTCTGGGCCAGGCGCAGCCCCGGGAAGGTCAGGCAGGCGCCCAGGAAGGAGCACAGGGCCACCAGCCCCAGCTTGAAGGCCAGCTTGGCGAGGGGCAGCCTGCGGAGAGAGAAGCAGTGGGGGAGGACGACAGGTCGGCTCCATCCCCGGTGAGCTCTGGAGGGGTTCCCACCCCAGGCTTCCAAAAAACCTCCCCAAAACCCTGTTTCCCTCCCCGCCCTACCACCAACTCACGTCCACTCCCAGCCCCGCTGCTTCAGGATGCTCTCCAGGTTGCTGCTGACGCCGGCCAGCCCTGTGGAGAGCGACCCGCCATGAGTGGGGTGCTCACAGCCCCCAGGGACCACCTCTCCCTGTCACCCCTCACCCACCGGGCTCGAGGCCGAACTCCAGGTACTCCTCTTGGACGACCAGGGCCACCATGGCGAGGAGGAGGAAG